TTTTTTTTTCCTGAAATATTTGGAACTTTCAAACTGTCAAACAAACAGTGCACACATAAAGCCAAGAAAAAAATTTTTCTGTTATAGAGGTATCCGATGACTGCTTGGCCGTCTCGCGATGTACATCTGCTATCCATAAAAAGAGCGTTGCAAGAAGCAAAAACTGAACAGCAGTATAAAAAGTTGGAGCACAGAATAAAGAAGATTGAAACGGTAACCATAAAGAATGAGTTTTTTTTGATAATAACGGTACACAGAAGCTTTTTTTTCTAGATTTAGCAAGAAAAAAAACAAAAACTACAACTTCAGAACAAAAATTGAAACATTAAGATTTAAAGGTTCTTTGCTTTCAAATATTCTGTGAACATTCTCTGCAGTCAGATGCAAGAAACTGGTCAATAATTCTGCCATATTTTCTTTTTTGCTGCAACTGAAAAAAATTATACTAACTCGTGAAATTTCAAACTTTTAAACATTAACTGTTCTTTTTTTGCAGCCGAAGGTCTAAGACATTTGTAAAACAACACCTAATTCTTCTTTGCTTTTTTTGACAGAAAAGACAATATTTGGAGAATTTCATGATCGACCTGGTGGAAAGAACAGTAACAGATCCAGTGAAACAAAGTTGGATATTGAACAATCATCCTCGTGAAATTACACAGTTGCAGTGTCATGACAGCGTCGTAAAAGCGTTCCACAGAAGTTGCTTCCATTTTAGTCGTGTTAGTAATTAATTTCTAAGATTTCAAATTATGTTGATAATGCAAAATTTGTTGTACTTCAATATCAATAAGCAAACATTATTTTAGAATCCATATGCTCTTAAGTACGTTTATGTGTTGACAAACCTATGCGAAGAACGGATCGATATTGAGTTTATATTGGAGGTCATGCTGCAGAAGTGCCTTGAAATTGAAGTTGTCGGCATTTTCTGAGAAAAAAAAAATTTTTTTTTAATGTAAAAATGATTTACTCAGTAAAAGTAGCTAGTTTTTAATTTTTAAACAAAATTGTTATTTTTTTTCTCTGCATTTGTTTACAAATTTGTTTACAAACAAGAACTATTTGCCGTTTATCTGTGATGTTACAGCAAAAAGGACTACCTAGTAAAGTGATTTATCTTTACTAACAAACTAGCAGATTAAACAATTATTGTATCATATTTGCACTATTACTACCTTTTTACCCGTGTAAAATGACAGAATAAAGTGTGGCCTAATTGTTTAATCATACCGTTGCACGGACCCATTACGTAAGATTAGAAATTAGGAATACTGTCGAAAAGCAGTCT